ATGAATGGATTAACAATTTCAAAAGAGTAACTTCTCAGAATTCTATGGCAATTTCATCAACTAATAAATCACTCTATGGAAAGAGGGTCAACAAATGCGATTTTTACTTCGACATTCTTTTCAGATAGTCAAAAACATTTTTCTTTTTTTTTATTCATACTAATAGCTGTAATTAGTTCAATAAGATGGACTTCATGAAGCCAATCACTTACAAAATAATTCAAAATGTCTATGTATTTTTCAAAGAAAAGACGTGCGTATAAGATTTGTCGAAATGTAACTTGGTTTACTAAGTATATGAACTCTAATAAAGTACAATCAGTTATAAAAGAATCCATAAATGTTCAACAGAATCCATAATGTCTTCTTCTTTTATATATGTGCTTTCGTCCTAAACCAGATGTCAAGAAGTTTAGTTCAGCTTCTGATCTCAGATTTTGCAATGTTTTAACAGCTCAGTTTCAAGAAACAATCTGTCCGATCAACTTTTGTTCTATGACTGGAATACTATTACCAAAATAGAACAAAAATTTTTTGTACTGCACTACTTCAGAAACTACAAAGCTAATAAGAGATCAGTTCTTATCAGAGGAGCTGCTTGAACAGATTTGGTGATATGATCTATTCTGTTCAAACCAATCTTTCGCTCTTTATTGTGTGTTTCATTCTGGAAAAATTAAGTTGATATGTAAGTGTCGTTGCTATAATGTTCTGGATGTAAATATTATGCACGACAAAACAAAATGAATGACTATTAAGTAGAAAAAAATTATATTTAGGTTATTTATCTTGCTCCTGGAGATTATCATCGATTTCATTCACCAACAGAATGGTATGTTATATCTATATTTTTCTTATTCTATTCTATTTTTTTGCTTACAGGCAAATAAGTTGGCGTCGTCATTATATTGGTCATTTATTTTCAGTAAATCCAAAAGTTGCTAGTTGGCTTCAAAATTTGTTTTGTTTAAATGAACGAGCAGCTTATTATGGTTCATGGAAATACGGATTTTTTTCTATGACAGCTGTTGGAGCAACAATTGTTGGTAGTATTAATGTTCATTTTGATCCTGTAAGGAAATACTTCAATATTAATCAATTCAAATTTTTTTTTTTTGTTTTATTTTTTCATTCGTAGGAATTAAAAACAAATAATCGCTGTCGACCAAGATTAGAAAAAACATTTCAAACAATGCGAAATTCAAATGGAATTTTACTTAAACGTGCTGATAATTTTGGTGATTTTAATTTTGGTTAGTAAATTAAAAGAAATATTTCTTTTTTGATAATTTTTTTGTTTTTTCTTTGAAGGTTCTACTATTGTACTTGTTTTCGAAGCACCTGACAATCTTGTTTTTAATTTTAAATCTGGTGATCCAATTAGACTTGGTCAATCCTTATGTTATCTTGATAGACAAAAGGATGTTACTACACAAAATATAAAACCAAGTAATGGATCACCAACTCTTTCAACTGAAGAAAGCGAAAGTTCAAATGAAGAAGATGAAAATCTAAATGTTGGTAATGACGAACAAAATATTGATCAAGAATTACTTGTTGATACAGTGGCACTTGATGCAGCTATTGTTGATGCTGGTGCCACTGCTAATCGAGAAGTGATATCGAATGATAATAATGAACAATATTCGTCCACTTCGAAAATTTAAATCTTTTATGATTTTTGTTTTATAATCTGCATATATGTTGTGTAGCGAAGTTTGTTTCCAATTGATATTTATATGATGTTGTTCTGTTTTATTCTGATTTACGAAGATAAAAATAAAATAATTTTGATATATTCGAAAAACTATGAAGAGAGATATTTTATGATCATTCAAATAGAACATAATTTCATAAAGTAATACAACTCAAGATTTACATAGTGACATGATGATGATCTAATTCGAGCGAATATGAAAAATTGTTAGTTATGCTTTTTCTTTAATTTAGAGATTGTTTCGTCGGCCAAATGTAGACGCTTTTGACCATATGGATTCGCGAGAACAGTTAGTTTGGAGTTGTCAACACTAGAGGTGTGTCGGATCGAAGAGTTACGAGAAAAAACTTGTACGAAGTAGAACTAAAACTTACTAAACCACGGTTTTTAGCAAATTATGTTATAAATCATATTAATCAAAGCAAATTTTAGAAGCGATTATCAATAAATGAAACATTGATCGACTGAATGAATAAAAACAGTTATTTAAAACTATTTTTTAGATTCCATAAGAATTAAATCCTGAAATACTTTTCTATAAGCCACAATGGAGACCACAAAAAGAGATGATATTATGATCGAATCAAGATCGTACGGGAACACACTTGATTGCGCCTATATCTCTAATCAGTAATGATTGTAATGATATCTAGAAATATTGTTGACCGTGATGAAAGGTTGTGCTTATTTATATCACAAGATGCGACATACTTACGAGACTAGGGATGCGGAAGATTAAAGATACTGGCGAGAAAGATATTAAAAGCTGCTTTGGAGCTTTTGAATCTGTAATATGAACATTAGTAGATCTCAGTGAGATTAAGAATACTTTAGAGCAATTGTGCCCAAGGCTTTTCCTTACCAGATATGATCGAATCTCATTCCAAGAAATATAAGGTCATGATCATTTTTGCTTTTGAGGAGCTCAGGTGAAGACACAGTCGACGGCGCAGACCGATACCATCACATTCAGATCTATTATAATCATATCAACAAAATTTATGATATTGGTTTAGCAATGTTCTATTGAAGCTAATCTGGCCTTACATGTACTGTCTTTGCAGTATTTTGCCACTTTCTTTGTAAATAACAGCACGAATGAAAATTTCCAAAACATATTTTACAACACAAGTCTTTTAGCTGTATCTAACGACATACAGATCATCGAAAAAAAAAATTGCTCAAATTTTTAATATTCAAACTTGAGTTCCAATTCTATTCGACTGTTCAGATACTTTTACAACATTATGAAATAGTATCACTCATGGTGACCCATGTACATAAACAAAACATATCGTATCTCTTATTCATACAACTGACTCATTGCCACACTACTCTCTTCATCAGCGCTCGTCATGTTCTAGATCATGTCGTTTACAAGGTTTTTTCCTCTATGAATAACACAGTTGTTTTATTCGCTACGTTCCCCATATTGACTCATAACCATCAGTAAACAAACTATGGGTATTTAAGCGAGTGATTTTACTAGCGATATTATTCTACACAATGCTTCGAATCAAACCAGAGATGTCCATCGCGGCGCTGCCGCGCCGCCGCCGCTGCCGCTGCCGCTGCCGCGGTGGCGGTGGCGGCGCGGCAGCGGCAGATTTTTAAAAAAAATCACCGCGGCAGCGGCGCGGTAGCGGCAGATTTTTTTAAAAGTCATCGCGGCAGCGGCGCGGTAGCGGCAGGTTTTTTAAAAAACCATCGCGGCAGCGGCGCGGCAGCGGCGCGGCAGCGGCAGGATTTTTTTGGAGGACATTGAAAAACTGTATGAATTTAATAGAATTTCACGATTTACAAATGAAACGCCCTGATATTGAATAAATCTGATGGACTAGTACCCATATCTCTGGTCAAATATAGTCACAGCAGTGAAATTAGAAACAATTTTTTGAAAATCGTCGCGGCAGCGGCGCGGTGGCGGCACGTTTATTTTATAATTCATCGCGGCAGCGGCGCGGCAGCGTTTCTTTTATAAGTCATCGCGGTGCGGCAGCGTCGCGGCAACATTTTTTTATAAACCGCCGCGGCGCGGCAGCGGTGCGGCAGCTTTTTTTTTCTAAGGCCGCGGCGCGGCAGCGGCAGATTTTCAGCCGCGATGGACATCTCTGAATCAAACACGACTCTCCGTTTTCTACACATTAACCAAAACAACAATATGTGCCATTGAAATATGTGAGTGTCGAAGCATACATTAAATCCTTTGCTGCAGACGTTACCATCAAACAAGTTTTTCGAAATGATGAAACAAAACCAATTGAAGCAGTGTATTGTTTTCCAATAGAAGAACAAGCAGCCATCTATTCATTTATTGTTCAAATTGATAATCGAGAAATTATTGCACAATTGAAAGAAAAAAAACGAAGCTCAATGAGAATATAGCGATGCTCTTAAACTAGATTATGGTGCATATTTACTCGAACAAAATGAAAAATCTCAAGATAATTTTATGATCAATGTTGGTGCACTACCAGCTGGTAAATAAATATCACATCTCTATATCATATATCTTTGAACTCGATCTTGTTGAAAATGGAAGCTGTATTTCGATTTGTTATTCAAACGGCTATCGCACCTCGATACAATCCAAATAAAGGTGGTATCAGTTCAGCAGCTGGTACCACATCCAAATATGTTCAAACAGCTTCATAAACAATTGAATTTCGTTGTCAAATGGAGAAAACCAACATCTCTCGAGTTAGTTCAACGTCTCATCCTATCCAGATTGAAGTCGAACGAAGTTTTCCAGTGAATACTAATGCAAAAAGTCAATCAATTTCATACCAATGATTAGGAAGACAGATTGCATTTTCTTTTCGTGAATGTTCACTACTAAAAATATTGATATATTGATATTTTTTTAGTAAATAAGAGTACGAAAAAAAATTACGAACTAAATTTTCTTACATTATTTTGTGAACTATGCCAAATGAAAAAAACAATAAAAAAAACCGTTCAACTTTTGAATGCCAGCAGCTTGCATTCAATCTTAGTTGACCATTCAATTTGTTTTAGAATACTATGAAATAGGATCAGACACGATCAGTTCTGTGCGCTAACAAAACACTTCTCATTTTCTCCTCCTACAATTGACTTATTGTCGCATTACTCGCTACACTGGCACCCGCCATGCTTTGCAACGTGTCATCAACTATGTTTTCTTCTCTATGAATCATACAGTCGCATTCTTCGTTCTTTTCTCAATATTGACTCATGACTTTCTCTGAGCAACGATTGAGTATTTAAATGAGTAATTTCAGGAGCAACATCATTTTGCACAATGCTCCGAATCAGCCAATATTCTTCCGTTTCTTCGCAGCAGTCAGAACAACAATATGTGCCATTAAAACATGTGAGCGTCGAAACTTTTATTAAATTTTTCGCTGCCGATGTGACTATCAAACAAGTTTTTCGAAATGATGAAACAAAACCAATCGAAGCAGTGTATTGTTTTCCAATAGAAGAACAAGCAGCCATCTATTCATTTATTGCTCGAATTGATGATCGAAAACTCATCGCACAATTGAAAGAAAAAAACGAAACTCAACGAGAATATAGCGATGCTCTTGAACAAGGACATGGTGCATATTTACTTGAACAAGATGAAAAATCTCAAGATAATTTCATAATCAATGTTGGTGCACTACCAGCTGGTAAAGAATGTCACATCTCTATATCATATGTCTCTGAGCTAGATCTTGTTGAAAATGGAAGCAGAATTCGCTTTGTGGTTCCGACAACTATTGCACCTCGATACAATCCAAATACAGGTGATGTCAGTTCACCAGCTGGTACAACGTCGAAATACGTTCAAACAGCTCCATACACAATTGAATTTCGTTGTCAGGTGGAGAAAACCAATGTCTCTCGAGTCAGTTCAACGTCTCATCCTATCCAGATTGAAGTCGATCAAAAGAGTATCTATGTCATCCAATTCACTCAACAAAACACACGTCTAGATCGAGATATCTTGCTAGATATTGAGTTAAATAGCAATCGTTCAAATACCATTGTTGCAGTGGAACCAGGTGTTGTTATGGCTTCATTTGCACCAACCGAAGAAGATTGTCAACGTACGATGAACCACGTAGAAATGACAAATGAGTTTATTTTTGTCATCGACTGTAGTGGATCGATGCAACATGAAAACAAGATTGGATTGGCACGTGAAGCTATGTTACTCTTTTTCAAGAGTCTTCCCCTAGATTGTCATTTTAATATCATACGATTCGGGTCAAATCATGAGGCATTATTCGACGAGGTCACCGCTATTTATAATGAAAAAAATACTCAAAAAGCTGAACGGCTTATCAATCAGCTGCGGGCGGATTTCGGCGGAACTGAGCTAGTCTGTTTCATAGATTATATCCTAAAAGAAAACTTCGTTTGTCTCTATTCTAGTTAGAACCACTGAAATGGTTAGAAAAGCATCCTCCACGAAAAGGTCGTGTGCGACAAATATTTCTGTTGACAGATGGAGAAATTTCCAATGTCAACGAAGTACTTGATCTATGTCGTTCAATGGCTACTTCTACACGTATCTTTTCATTTGGTTTGGGTCATTCTCCAAGTCGTTCACTTGTCAAAGGTCTTGCTCGAGCAACAAATGGATGTTTTGTTTTTATTCCACCTAACACTAGTGTCGATATTCATGTTGGTGAACAATTACAAAAAGCTTTGCAATCCTATATAAGTGGCATACAAGTGGACTGGAATTTGGGTACTACTGTTATGAGTACACCAACAAGAATACCACCAGTTTATGCTAATGATCGTCTAATTGTCTATGCACTTGCTAATGATCCCATGTTTGTCTTCCATCATAATTCCAGCGTTGAATTACATACCAATAAAAGTCGATTGGACGAGGCAAAAATTGATTGCACACCGAACGCGAACACGAATGGGGCAATTGCTCGACTCGCTGCCAAAGCACTTATTCTCGAATTGCAACATTCAAAATTAACCTCTCTGATCAAGAAAAAGAAATCAATTTCGCTACTAGGTTGCTTTCGAAAAAACCGTCGATTGCCAACACCAGCACCGGCAATCAATGACAAAGAAGTGAGAAAGAGATCCATTATTGAGCTCTCACTCAGGTATCAGATTCTCAGTCCGTATACCGCTTTTATTGGTATTGAAAAACGAGTGAATAGCAATAACACCGACATAGTTTTGCGCGAAGTACCAATTCAAATATCAGCCGATAACCAACACTTACTGATAGCTCATTCCACGCATCAGTGTGGCAATACGATGCCACCTAGTTCGATAGCATTATGTATGAAACGAGTACCAATGGCGATATCTGCCGTGAATCGGTCTATGTCAACGGAGTACAAACAATATAAAGCTCGTAAACCGATACCTCAATCAGATTCATTTTCAGAAGATCACACCGATAACATTGATGAAGAGGACCTCTCTCTACAGGCTTTCCCTTCAATACCATTCAAATCCACTTATGTTTGTTCTACACTTAGTTCACATCAACAGTCTTTGATTGACGAAGAAAAAGATGAAACGTGGCCTACTGATAACCAAAATATTATTCGCTACTTGATCAGCAAACAAAAATTTGATGGTTCATGGGATTTAGATGCGAAAGATGTAGAACACTTGACTGGAAAACCGTTAAGAAGCTTTCCAGCATCTAACAGTAAACAAATTCTCACTTCGGCTATTGTTATTGTCACACTTGAAACGCGTTTCGCTACAATGTCGACATTGTGGTATGGTGTAGTTCAAAAAGCTCGCAAACGTCTTTTCAATTTACTTGGCAAAGACGTTAAAAAACTCGAATCGTTACTGGAGAACATTCGTCAACAACTTTGAAGGTTCTTGGCCATCGATTGATCATGCGTGTTTCGCCTACTAATACTATTTTTCTGTAGAGTCAGAAAACAAATAAAAGCTTTTATCCACAGAAAATTAACAGTAGAGAAGATGATATCTAACGGAAACTTGAACACATTACAGTCGATCTTCGATGATAGGCAACCATTTCTAACGGAATCTACATTTCAAAAGTAATCGATACACTTTCACAATTTTTTAATTCACTCTTGATTCTTTATTTGAGAAAGTTCGAAACACAAAATTTTTGCAAAATGGAGTGTATTGTAGTAACCATCTCCAGAACTCATACATGGACTGAATTCTCTTTTGCGCTATCTTGTTGAAATATATCTAATCGTAGAATTTTAGCAAAAGAAGTCACTCAACAAGTATTTTGTATTGTCTTCAAACAGTAAAGTAGTAAGAACGATCGAATCACACAGTCTGTTCCAGAAGAAACTATGTATTGTCATAAAAACTAAGAACCAATCCTGTTTTCAACATACCATTACGGAGAGCACTCTTGGTGTTACAAAAGCCATTATTAAACTTGCTCTCTTTTTTCTCTTCTAATATAAAAAGGCTAACAAAAAAAAATGAGAGATAACCTTGCTCGATTGTGAAATTGAAAAAACTTTTAGAGATGTTTGGGTTTTGGCTTCTCCTCATTCTCATTTTGATCTTCGAAAATTTGACATTCAGACATTGCTGTTTCTAACAAAAGTAATTTCGATTGGTTTAAGATTCGATGATATGATCTAGCAGGGCTTGACATTTGTGTAAAGACTTTTGCACCGCTTGTTACTACAAATTCAAAAGCGTCAAACACGTAGAAAAGAGAAAAACGAAACGAAATTCGAGTTGTTTAGTCCAAACTACGTGATGAAGACCCTTCAACAAGACCGAAATATGTCTTAGGTGACTCGATGTCCACATACACACAAATATTTGTACACCTTTAATTTTCATCTTTTTTCAAATATATCAAAAAACATTTTTGGAGTCAAAAAGATATCTTTTTGTATAGAATTTTAAGTGGAATTTGATTGTCAAGATCTTACCAAGATATATAAGTGATTCTGTTCAGGATCTATGTAATATTGGTAAATCTTTCAATCACAAAACGAAATTGAATACCAATGTAGAATTAAGCCTTACCAATGATACATGAAAGAATTTCTCAAGCTTTTATTATGTTTCGTTTGGAACACAAGAGACTGTACAAGCATACCAATATTTTATCTTGATCATGGCTGCATCTTTGTATAGAAATATAAAGAGATTCTAACAAAACCTCAGAAGATCTCTTTCAGTATTATTAAAAGTTGATATTGCCATTGTTTTACAATTAGGCGAGAAACACTAGTTATTCTTATGATTTTCTTCTGAACAGGAATTAGGGTATCATTGCGGTTTTTCTATTACATTTATTCTTCTCATGGGGTAGCTATTCTTCGTCAGAAGCAAATTATTTGGTGAAACTTATTCATACTTAAGACTACATGAAGAAAAAAAATGTGTTTTTAGGGTGTGAATGTATCTTACTCACACACCCACATCCTGTTCACTAATGATGCAATAATTGTCTAAGTAGTTGATCAACGAATAATGGCTGGTACTACTGACATCTCTTACAGGTTCTTATAAAAAACTGTTTTTCATTGTTAAAAAAGAAAATCAATGCAAAAGTTTATGTTATCGGTATTACCAATAACTTCGTTTCTAAACGTTTCAACATTTATCTTTTCATCCCTGATTCATAACTGAACAATCCATGTGCTTTATTATCTACCATGAGCTATTTTCATAGCGGTTATATATAAATTAATAGTTGCAAGAGATTATTGTCTACTGTTATTGTTGTTGTTATGTTGTTTTACGTATGTCGAATCTTCAGAAAGACAATATTCGCAAAACCCTATTTATCAGGATTTTTGTGAATAAACAGAACATACTACTAAAGATCAGAATCATAAAATTTTCGTTTTCTTCAGCCTTCAAAACTGAAATAGAAAACACTAAAGAATTCTAGAATTTCTCTGAATTCGCTAGACTTTAATTAAACTTGAACATAACTTAACATAGAGAGATAAAATCAGCTGTTTAAATTCATCGCTTTGTTATTTTTCTATTTTACATCTTGTAAAAACTCAGTTTAGTTTTGCCTGACATATATATTTGTTACTGTAACATACATTATAGTCGGATTACATCTTCTTGTACATTGTTTGATTGTATTACAGCGTCTAAAAGTAAGCATTGTCAAATTTTTTTATTGAACTTGAAGCTATCAGTCTATCCGGCTTCTTTGTTATATGGATATCTAGCAGAGAAATGAGGCAGTGAAATGCATATTGAAACAAATGTTTTTCACGTGAATTATACCAATGTTTTTATGAAGCACAATCGTTTGAGGGTGACCGCTCACTTCGGTACATGACATTTCGTCCCGTTCAATTCGCCCCACACGATTCGTTCCAATTACATTTCGTCCCATTACATTTCGTTCCAATTACAATTCGTCTGATATCTTTGCTAAGATCAACTTTTAGTTATTTTAATTAGATGTCGTGTAAATACTTATCGTCGCGTCTAGTGAATCATCGCGATAATAAATGACCAATGAACAATGAATATATTCCTTTTTTCTATTCTACATATTTATCGAGATTAATTTTCTATTTGTCATTCAACCACGTGCGCTCGTAGTTATTGGCATTTTGTACAACTTTGTACAAATAGTATAAACAAAAATATGAATACTATTGAGGTATGAAAGAGTTCTCGAGGAAATTCAATGATATATTTTTCAGAATATTTGTACACTCAACATCGAATAACAGAAGAAAAACATATATTTCGTTGTGAAGATCGAAATTGTAGAAGTAAGTGTAAATCGTTAAATCTAATCTTTTAACTTTGCTTGATATTATTTTTTGATCGTTGTCAAACGAATATTCAGATGGAAGTATTTCTCAAAGAACCATCTGAACATTTTCATGTACCTGATCCAGATCGGATGCACCTCATTCGACTTAAAAATGAAATTAAAAGTCGTGGTGCATCATCAGATGAAGGAGCTAGTACGATACTATTTGATGTATTACGGACAATTCCATTAACTATAACTACTGATTTACCTACAAATGACGCATTGTTGCAAACGATTCGATGTGAACGACCAGCAATGCAACTTGATCATAATGGTTGTTTACCTTTAATATTACGGCAAACTGATCGAGGAGAAAGTTTTATTCTATATGAAGATGATTCTATGGTAATATTCACATTTGATAAGGACTTATCAGTTTTAAAGCAGTTAAATTTATTAAAATAAACTTTATCTCATATTGCTATACTGAGAATGAATAGTTACAATATGGGACGAAATGTAAGGGGACAAAATAAAATTGTGACGAATTGTAAGGGGGCAAATTGAAAAGGGACGAAATGTAATTGGGACAAAATGTAATAGGGACGAAATGTAAGGGGACGAAATGTAATGGGATGAATTGAATGGGACGAAAAGTAACGGGATGAAAAGTAGGGGACGAAGTGTAGGGGTACCATAATATGTAAGTCATGGTAATAAAAGTTTGCTCAAATACTTTCACAACGTTATGAAATAGTATCATCACGATTGCCCATGTGTGCAAACAAGACACATCACATCTCTTATTCATGGAACTGAATCATCGTTGCAATACTCACTGCTCTTTTACCTTACATATTTTGCAGCATATCGTCAACACTGTTTTCTTCTCCATGAATCACACTGTCATATTTTTCGTTCTTATCTTCACATTACCTCGTGCTCTTCAGTAAGCAAACCTTGAGTATTTAAGTCAGTAGTTTCAGCAGAATTATTATTCTAAACAATGCTTCGAATCAAGCAAGATTCTGCCTTTTCTACACAACAGCCACAACAACAATATGTGCCCTTAAAACAAGTCAGTGTCGAAGCACACATTCGATCATTTGCTGCAGATGTCACCATCAAACAAGTTTTTCGAAATAATGAAACAAAACCAATTGAAGCAGTGTATTGTTTTCCAATAGAAGAACAAGCAGCCATCTATTC